GAGTAGCATTTTACAGGCATTGCACATAGCTTTATCTCATGCTTCCAAGAAGGTAAGAGATCAAAGCTTCAGTTTACCCATGGTTTGGCTATTCCCAGAATCATATTAGGCTATTGATGGGTTTATTGATTACCTGCCAAAACATTTTAAGGTAAGATAGCCCACTAAAATAAAGAAATACATACAAAGATAGAATGTGTTGACATCTATCTCTCTGATCACACTAATGGATCTATTACTTCATTTGTATAGGTTGAGCAATTTATAGCTACCTTATGAACTATCTAATTTTGGACAAATTTTTAAGTTTCACCTGCAAAATTAGGCCACAATTTCAATTTTGAACATACAGTATAAATCTCTTCTCCATAAATTTTAAACCCTTTTCCCTCCTTTTAGGAAACATAATTGCATAATTCAAACTCTTTCAATACTGTGACCTAGTTTCCCCCTCTTGATGTTATAAATGGCTCATGTAACTATGGTAACCATCCAGGGAAAACTGAGTTTTTTCTAGTCAGCAATATGCAAAATATACCATATGTGTTATTTGTTCTCTCTGGGATAACCAAAGTAGATAATATGTCTTTGCTTTTCTTTTTGGTTATGGGGATATATTTTATTATACAGAATTTTGTCTTGACTACAATCCTAGTCATTCATAGTCCCTTCATTAAACTATTTTAGGATCACCTTTTGCCGCTGGTCGTCATCATAACTGCTGAACAACACTATAACCCAAAGTAGTAGGACTGACTGTATATACCAAATTTAAATCCGTCCTCTCTACCACATAAACTACATATACAGGCTGATATTGCTCAATTTCCAATATTTCATATAGGGAATCTGGTATTTTCTTAACTTTGTCCTTTGGTCTTAGCAGAAGTGTTTCCTTAAAGCAAAAAAAAAAAAAAAACTGCTAGAATAGAATTATATTTCAGTAGGTATACCAAAAGGAGCCCTGGTTGCATAATGGTTAAGTGCTCAGCTGCTTAATGAAAGGTTGGTGATTTGAACCCACCAGCAGGTCTGGGGAAGAAAAGACCTGGTGACCTGCTCCTATAAAGATTTCAGCCTAGGAAACCCTATATGGGGCAGTTCTACTCTGTCCTGTAGGGTAGCTATGAGTTGGAATCGACTAGATAGCACACAACAATAACAGGTATACTGAGATGCTGAGAAGAGTTATCTACAGTTTGTAGTAACTTTTATATATCTTCTTTTATCTCTTTTCTATTTTTTCTACAATTAGTGTGTACTACTTATGCAATAGAAACCCTGGAGGCCTAGTGGTTAAGAGCTACAGATGCTAACCAAAAGGTCGGCAGTTCAAATCCAGCAGGCGCTCCTTGTAAATCCTATAAGGCAGTTCTACTCTGTCCTAGAGGGTTGCTAAGAGTTGGAAACGACTAGACGGCAATGGGTTTGGTTTTGGTTTTGTACTTATGTAATAAAGCAATAAAAAATGCTTTAAAGCTAAGCTCAGTGGAGGTGCAGAATATTAGTTTTTTTGTTCTGTTTTGGTTTTTTAGTTACCAATTGTAATACTGAAATGATTTAAAGTTTTTGTTTTTTCAGTACTTTTAAAATGCTTCACTGGACCTTCTACAACAAATTACACTCTAAATTAATACAGACTCCTAGACTTTTAAGGATTTATTTATTTGCATTAGATACATTTCTGCAGCAGGCTACCAACTGGTCACCTTTTAATACAAGGATACACTTTAAAGTGATTAATTTTCTTGAATTCCCCCATATTTATAAGAGCGCTTTTCAACCATACAGGTGTCTTCCTTAGAAAAGCATTCCTCTCTGCCTCATTGAATTACATAGGGAATTAACTGCCTCTACCTGGTTTAGAAAAGACCTCACCAGCCAAACGGAAGAGTAGAACTTATTTGGATCCTGTTGATCAAAACAAGCATAAAAAAATTAACTGACACAATGGAGACCTGAATTGTCTAGATATTAAATGATACTAAGAAAATTTTCTAGCTGACATAATGGTATAGTGGATATATTTTTTTTAAAAAGAGAATTGTTCTCACCCATTCATATTTAACGTATTTATAGATAAAGTGATAATAATCCAGTAAGGATAAGGGAATATGGAGGGTTATAAATGAAATAATATTGGCTATTTATACTTTTGGAGGAGCCTTGGTGGTGCAGTGGTTAAGCACTCTGCCACTAATCGAAAGGTTGATGGTTAGAACTCACCAGCCGCTCCGTGGAATAAAGATGTGGTAGTCTGCTTCTGTACAGATAACAGCCTTGGAAACCCTATGGGGCAGTTCTACTCTGTCCTATAGGGTTGCTATGAGTCAGAATCAACTCGACGGCAGTGGGTTTGATTTGGATTTACACTTCTGAAGTTTGTTCTATCTTTTTTAGAGTTGTTTTATGATGGAAAGCACAATGAAGAGCAAATAAGCTGCCTCTTTGCTTTATTCATAGGATTAAATATCACCAATCAACTTCTATGTGGCAGAGAGTTGAGGACTTTTTAATTTTGTATTTAGCAGGGAGTATGGAAACCTATTTTGAAGAGGCTCAACATTTCCAGTTAAGTGACTACTAGGAAAAAAAGGACATTAATAAATAACCAAGGTCAAGAGTTGGGTTTGGACGGTACGGTAATTTTTTTCCCATGTAAGTACTCTCCCCACATGCGCTGCTTTCACAAGTATGGGCAGGAATGAGCCTTTGAGAAACCTTGTAAATTAAGATACCAAGAAATCACATCTGAAATAACTCTCACACATGCACATATTAGAGTGTACTTTACAGGTTTAGGCCAATACAGCTGAAAAATATTCTAAATTTTTGTTTACTTGCAGCCTGTTCAACATTATGAAAGGTAAAAACAACGCTGTGAACAGTCTCCTACCTCATATTCAACTTTCCTGCCTTTCATCTTCCTCTAGGTTCCTGGAGCAAGTACTCTAGGTATTCTGCATCACTGCCTTTTCCCACTTCTAGTTTTTATCTAAGTGCCATATCTGCCTGCAGATCACTTGTCAGAATGAATAAAATCCATACGTCCATTCTGTGTCTAACCTGAATAAATAACAAAACACCTTGCATTATTTTGGTGCCTTCAATAAATACTAGCTGATTCCAATCTATAAGGAAACCAAAATAGTGGGGTTAAGGTAAAAGGCAATAAAATTCAGTTTTTACCAGTGACTTGTTTTTGACAAGATCTGGCTGCTTAATCCGAAAGACTGAAAGAATAACAACAATAAAATTCCAAGACTGTTGCCAGAAACACAATACACTGAGTGAATGGTTGACTTATGGTTCAAGTAGTCAAAATCTCAAAGTGTCACGGGATAATTAACACAATCTCCCAGTCTTTTGCAGTATTTTTTGTTGTTTCCAAGATGTGGAATTCTCTGAAGTACTTCATTTTAGCTTGAAATTTAAAATTTCCTCTAGATCTAGATTTCTCTTTGCCTTTTAGGGACTCTAGCATGTCAATATTTATTTAGTAATAACAGCTGTTTTAAAAGTGCTGTAAATAGGTCAAAATAATGGTGCACTGTTGTAAACTGAATATAAGAAAATCCAAATTTACCACTCACATTTTCCACTTAAAAGATACTACTCACAATAGGGTTTGTTTACATAGGCATTTCATTAAAACTCTCCGTGTAGTCGTCCTATTCATACCTATTCCTTTCTAAAACACACATTATGATAAATCCTTACAGCCCATTTGTAACTAAAATTAGCTCCTCTGGCATTTCACTGAACGCTATACAGAAATTAAAACCTGATGGTCGATCACTTTGATAAAGCCGTGAGCACAATTCCTGATTAAGGTTTTACTATCATCTCCATTTCTCTTCTTTCCTCACCCCCTCGTGCTAGTTAGTCCTCGGGTTGTTGTGTGCCGGTGGGTCGAGTCCTAGGGTAGAAGTGGGTGAAATGAAATCGGAAGGTGATGTGCCCCTCACTCCGCCAATTTAAGTTCTTCGCCCGACATAAAATGCTTAAACGTTCTGCACCGCGAGAACTGTTTTGTTTTGTTTTAAGGGTTGTCTGTGGGACAGTCAGCTTCCGTAAAGATTACAGCCTTGGAAGCCCTATGGGTAGTTCTACTCTGTCCTACAGGGTCGCTATGAGTCGGAATCCCTTCGATGGCAATGGGTTTGTGGGTGGGACAAATGCGTTTCCGGGACAGTGGTAGTCTTGCATCCCTTCTCCCTAAATTAAACAGAGGGTTCCTGGAGTGGGGTAGGACGACAAAATATGAACCGTAAGTTGGCGCCTGGAGCCCTCCAGCCTCTAAGGAAGGGCGGAAGCATGCCTGAGGCCGGGATGGAGATGTAAGACGTGCGGAGAAAAAGATAAAGAAAACGCAGGGGGAGCAGAGGGGCACTGCCTACCTCCCTATTAGAGCCCCGGTGCTCCGTGGGCCGGAAGTCCGAGCAGGAGGAACCGAAGCAAAGGGAGCTCAGAGGCGGCCGGCAGCAGCCGCGGGAAAAGCGCCGCCGCGCATGCCGGGAGCCGTGCCCCGCTCCCCGCTAGGCCGCAGTCCCCGCAGACCTCACTCTAGATTGCAGCCAAAAGCGATAGCCTGCGGCTCTTTTTAAAGCTCACGAGGGGCGACGCTAGATCCACCTAATGGGGAGAAAGTCGGGCCAAGTGAGCTGGGCCAGGTTCCCTCTCCCAGTGGGAAGGACGGAAGGATGAAGTCTGCCACCTTCCCTCTCATGTCCCACTCTGACATCGAGCGAAGAGGCAGGCAGTACTTCCCCTTTAAGAGGGGGCGGGGCGCAGCCTGCCGTTTGGCCGCCCTCCGCACCCTCCCCCACAACCAAGAGTTGACAAACCAATCACCCGAGTGGCAGAGGGAAGGCGGGAGAATGCGAACCTTTCGCTGGGGCGGTAGGGGCGGGCCCCGGTCCATATTAGGAATGAGTCCTGCGCAGGCGCAGAGGCGGCTGCGGGCGGAGGGGTGGGGGCGGTCCAGTGAGAGACTCCCCGATAGGCACCGAGGGTGATTGGGAGAAAAGCGGGCAGCGAGGGGCTTGTCATAGGGATCCGAACTACGAGACGGCATCGGTAGCATCTAAGGACTCTGAAGGGAACAGGAAGTACCAACGTCCGGGAACCCAGCGCCAGCTCCGCTGGGGGGATCCCCGCTGCTCTATTCCTGGGGAGGGACTAGAGAAAGGAGGGGATACTGATCTCGCCCCGCCCCTGGGCTTGTTACCGCGGGGGCGGGGAGTGAGGGCTTTTTCTGGGGGGAGCGGAGATCGGGGGACTCAGCTGTGCCCTCTTGAGCGGCCGCCGGTGCCCCCGCGGCGCCGGGCTGCTGAGGGGAGGACCCGCGGTGGCCGTCGCTGTTGCATGTGTGGCTGCTGGATGCGGAGGCGGCGGCGGCGGCGGCGGCGTGGAGCAGCAGCGGCGGCAGGATGTTAGGGCAGCAGCAGCAGCAACTGTACTCGTCGGCCGCGCTCTTGACCGGGGAGCGGAGCCGGCTTCTCACCTGCTACGTGCAGGACTACCTCGAGTGTGTGGAGTCGCTGCCCCACGACATGCAGAGGAACGTGTCTGTGCTGCGAGAGCTGGATAACAAATACCAAGGTAGGGGCCGCGAGGCCGCTCTGCATGTCCTTCCCCTCACCCGATCCGCTGGCCTCCGGGCGCGATTGCTTGAAGCCTGCTCCGGGAAGTGCTACTTTCCCTTTCTCCTGTGACAGCCTCTCCGAGTGCACCGTTGGGGTCTGGTGTGTAGGAAGTGGAACAGGGACTAGAGACCGGGTTCATGGCCCTCCCTCCCCCCGGTGCCAATCGGCGTGGACTTCTGTAGGGTCTCAAGGGTGGGGGTGGAGGCCGCGTGGCAGCCCCCGCTGCAGACCCAGCGGCTGCAGCTGCTGTGGAGGAGAATCAGCCATTTTAAGCTGCAAGCATTTGTCCCGGCTCTTGCCTGCCCCGTGTCGCAAAGCCTCCTGTCCCGGCGGGGGAGTATGCGGCCAGGCGCGGGACTATAGGAGGGAGCGGCCGGCCAGAGCCGGGATCCCGCTGGTGTCTGTGGCCTGGTGATTCCCACCTCCGGAAAGCAGATGCATTGGAACGTGCAGGGGGGGGGGGTGGTAGCCGGCGAGGGAAGGCCGCGAAGGCAGACTCTGGGGAGGTCCGTCCCTTCACTTCTTCTCTGGCTCCCGACTCCGAGATGGAGGAGTCGGTTCCCCTCACTCTCGCCCCAGGGAAAGTTCCGGGCTGCCCCGTGCCGCAGCTTTTTCCGGCTCCTTAAACCAAATGGTTAAAAGAGGAGGGGTCCCCCGCAGGGAAAGCACTAGAGGGGTGTGTGTGTGTGTGGCGGGGAGGGCCGCCTTGCCCCTCAGGGCGGGGCCTGCGGGAGTGACGTAGTATGGGGGGGGCGCGGGCACGCGCGCTCCCGCCACCCACGAAAATGGCTGGTCACAGGAGGGCTTGGGTGGAGCTGGCAGGTTGGGGGGATATAGGAGTCCGTTCCCCTCTTTGCCTGAGAAAAGCCAGTGTTGGATTTTACAACATGTTTGTTGTGATTTTTCGACTCTGCTTTCCAATCACTGAATCACGACGGGGACACAACTCTTGGGACCGTCGCTGACCCTAGTACTGCGTAGATTCCGGCCTTGTGTCACTTCCGGGCCCCAGGAGGAAATGGGTTGGTTGACTGGGCAACCGCCTGGCGTCCCTTCACCCCTTGGTTCTTCCTCGAACAAATTTAGGTGATGAAGCGAAAACCACCATTTGTGGTGAGACCCAAGAAGCTGGGACAGAGAATCAGCCTTTCTTAGGGTACCCCATTGCTGTCAACTCGATTCCGACTCATAGCGGCCCTATAGGACAGAGTAGAACTGCCCCATAGGGTTTCCAAGGAGCGGCTGGTAGATTCTGACTGCCGACCTTTTGGTTAGCAGCCATAGCTCGCTGTAGCTCTTAACCACTGTGCCACCAGGCTCCAACCTTTCTTCCAGAGTATCGTTTCTCGTTTACTATTGGTGGACTAGGCGTTACTAGGGGAGAAGTTTAAATGCGGAGCTGCTGTGCGTCTAATTTAACCCTAAATCTAGAAACAGACCTTTTACATAATGGGAAAGCACCCGTATAGACTTTAAAGATAACTTCTTGGACCCACTCTCTGTTTTCCTAGACAAGTCACTGATGCTATGATTCAGTCTCTAAAGGAGCCGACTTCTGGGATGACATTTTCTGGCCTGCATTTAGGTGTCTCTGTTTTGGGATCCGTAATTTATCTCTGTCTTCTGAACCCATATGGTTGATAGGACTGATCTCTGTTAGAGGAAAAGGGAATTAGTACTGATATGAATTGTATAGACAGATTTCCTTCCTACCTATTTGAGGCACTTTCAGAAATTACTGAAGAACTTTTAAAATAAAGAAGAAAACAATTAAATGAGGTATTTACTATGGGATATGGCTATTAAGAACTTCTGTTGTACCAGTATTTTTGTTCATAATTTCCTAGGTAAATAACAACCTTTGAACTAAAATTTTATTTGTAATAGCAAGCGTTTTCAATGTGGCTTAGAAAGTGCATAAAATTTGAAGTTAGACACACACACGCTGGCTGAGTTCAAAGTCAGGGTTTTTTACCTCTTGAGTTTCAGTTTCTTCCCGTGTGGAAATAATGGCTTTCTCAAATCTATGTCACATAGAAGGGGTTCAATAAACGTCAATTTCCTTTCTTCCACCACATAATTAAGGTGTTTAAAAATATGAATTTTTATCTCATGTGTCAACGAGAGGTGCCCTGGTGGCAGTGATTAACAGCTTGGCTGCTAACCAAAAGGTCAGCAGTTTGAATCCACCAGCCACTCCTTGGAAACCCTATGGCGCAGTTCTGCTGCCTTACAGGGTCACTGTTGACTCTACAGCAGTGAGTAGTATCAGTGTACCCAAGCCATGGTATTTTTGTTCACCTCATATGCATGCAAAAAGCTGGACTATGAATAAGGAAGGCCAAAGAAGAAGTCATGCCTTCAAATTATGATATTGGTGAAGAATATTGAATATACCATGGACTGCCACAAGAATAAACAAATCTGTCTTGAAAGAAGTATAGCCAGAATGCTCCTTGGAAGGGAGGATGGTGAGAAGGAAGACCTTCAATGAGATGGATTGACATAGTGGTGGCAACAGTGGGCTTAAGCATAGCAACAATTGTGAGGACGGTAGGACCAGGCAGTGTTTACTTCTGTTGTAATAGGGTCACTATTACAAGAAATGACATGACGGCACCTAACAACAACAGTATCAATCTGCTACTGTGATATATATTGTAATTAGCTTCTAACTCCTGATTATTAAATATACAATATTTGAAATGAGGTTTATCTTTTTTAATTTTTTCTTTAATCCTCAAATTTTATGTCCTGTAGGGGGAAACATCTAGTTTCCTTACTTTTCCTGGAGGAAAATTAGGTTATTAAAAAATTCACTTAGATGCTTCACTGGGCAAATAGGACAGATATGAGCTTTGTTCAAAAATAGGGTATGCAGTTATGTTGTTCTTGGATGCCATCAAGTTGGTTCCAACTCATAGTGACCGCACGGGACAGAGTAGAACTGCCCTATAGGATTTTCTTGGCTGTAGTCTTTACAGAAGCAGATTACCAGGTCTGTCTTCTGCAGAGCCGCTAAGTGGGTTCAAAACATCAACCTTTTGGTTAGCAGCTGAGTGCTTAATCATTGCGCCACCAGGGCTGAGTACCCTAAAAACTGGTGATGCTTTGTTGTGTGTCCCAGGTTAAACAACTGTCCATCAAGTATGAGTACGCACAGGTTTCAGGGAGGAGCTAATTCATAAGAGTGGTATTGAATATTTGCTTTGTGTCACCTCACAGACAGCCCCAGTGTGTCAATATAATTTGTCTAACATTCCTGGTCTCATCTATAGAGTAATAAGTAATATTGGAATATATAACAATAGTATGTTAATTTTTATTTCTCCACTTTTTAGTTAGACTGAACTCTTTCAGATAACATTATATCTCTTAAGGGTAAGAAATAGGACAGATTTGAATAAAACAAATTTTAAGTAAATTTTTTATGCCATTTGAAACTGTATTTCCTTATTTTTATATACCTTCTAGTAATTCAGCTATTTTATTTGATTTAGTTAAGTGTTCTGCTTCCTATACAATACCTACATCAGCAGTTTAAACAGCTTGGAACCAACTGCTGAGTTATCTACAAAAGGCAGAGTGATCCAATGCTGACTTTACTGTAATTTTATTAGTGACTCTGTTAGTTGATGCCAGACCCTGAACCTACTCTGGAAATAGTTTGATTTTCAGAATTTCCCATGTGATTCTAAAATAAAAGAGTTATTAAAACTAATGCTACAGGAACCTAAAAGTTACTTATGTCTATTTTGTTAAAGAATGTCTAGGGTTATGGTATGAAAGTGAAGGTATAGAATATCTCTGGAGTCATGTAGCAAGCCATTGATTGAACTGTAAATCCAACGGAGTTGGACAGTAATCTGTAGTTTAGTCCTGGAAACTTTTCAAGTTTGATAGCTGTGCTAATTTTATATATAGGATTGTTTTGAAGTTCAAATGAAGTATAGGTGATATGGCACTAGGTAAGCTATAACGTGGCCTACAGTGTTTTTGATTATTAATTAGCCACACAACTCTTTTTTTTAATATAGATTAATGAATATTAGAGTTTTGTGTTCTTTGTTTTCATTAGTTTATTTCTAAATATATTTTCATACTGGATAACATGATCTTTTGTATGGGAAATAATGTTTTTAATGTATACATACTATAGAAAAGTGTGGTTTTGATTTCAGTTCTAACTTTATCAATTCTGTGCAAAATAACTGGAAAAATGTTATGTGCTAACACATGATAATGTTCTGATTTTTCTTTTCCTTTTTTTAGAAACATTAAAGGAAATTGATGATGTCTATGAAAGATATAAAAAAGAAGATGATTTAAACCAGAAAAAACGCCTACAGCAGCATCTCCAGAGAGCATTAATCAATAGTCAAGAATTGGGAGATGAAAAAATTCAGATTGTCACACAGATGCTCGAATTGGTGGAAAATCGGGCAAGACAAATGGAGTTGCATTCACAGTGTTTCCAAGATCCTGCTGAAAGTGAAAGAGCCTCAGATAAAGCAAAGGTAGATTCCAGCCAGCCAGAAAGATCTTCGAGAAGACCCCGCAGACAGAGAACCAGTGAAAGCCGTGATTTATGTCACATGACAAATGGGATTGAAGACTGTGATGATCAGCCACCTAAAGAAAAGAAATCCAAGTCAGCCAAGAAAAAGAAACGTTCCAAGGCCAAACAGGAAAGGGAAGCTTCACCTGTTGAATTTGCAATAGATCCTAATGAACCTACATACTGTTTATGCAACCAAGTGTCTTATGGGGAAATGATAGGATGTGACAATGAACAGTGTCCAATTGAATGGTTTCACTTTTCATGTGTTTCACTTACCTATAAACCAAAGGGGAAATGGTATTGCCCAAAGTGCAGGGGAGATAATGAGAAAACAATGGACAAAAGTACTGAAAAGACAAAAAAAGATAGAAGATCGAGGTAGTAAAGGCCCATCCACATTTTAAAGGGTTATTTGTCTTTTATATAATTCATTTACTTTCAGAAAATATTTTAGGGTAAATGCATAAGACTATGCAATAATTTTTAATCATTAATATTGGTGTATTAAAAGTTGTTGTACTTTGTCTGTGACCTTAATTTTCTGCACTGAATTACCAAATATTTTAAACCAGGTAGTCTTCAGATCACCTCATGAAAAGAACAGGGAATAGGGAGAGGGTGGTGTGAACATTATAAAAACTTCACAAACTATGCCTATTTCATTTTCACTTAAAATCGCAATGTTATTTTTTTTGGCAGACACCAAAGTTTTGCTACCATTCTAGTTCTACATACTTAGAAAATCGAGATATAGTTGGATTTCTCTGTCAGCATCGAATTATCTTGAGTAATTTAAAATATGAACACTATCCCATTTACAGCTGCTTTCTCCCTTGTCCCATTTATACATGTACTTGGCTCATCTCTAGTCTTCTAGGAATTTAAGGAACTAGAGAGAAGAATAATTTGGGATTCCACGTGGAATAATGTGCTCTTATTAGAGTATTTGCTGCTGTATTTTCCTTAGTAGCATTTTGATACACTGTCAGTAGCCCATTTGTAAATGCCTTGCTGCTTCTTCATAGATAAACGTTTAATAAAGGGAGTTGTTTTTCATTTTGCTTTGTTTTAACTGGAACAGTCAAGAGTAGTTAGAATACCAAAAATACTGCCATTGGTTTATACTGGCAAAATTTGTGTTATACAGTATCATGGTTCAAGGTTGAGCAATCTTATTTAATAATTTTTCCCATGTGGTCCACTGCTGGGATATCTAGCCACAGTCCTATCAGTGGGAAAAGGGCATATATTAGTCTTTAAATACTGCATTTATGTCAAACAGTTATTTTAAATACTTTTGCTAGTGGTGATAGTTCATTATTTCTGTCCCAATCAGTGATTATACATTATTTTAACTAATAGTGTATATGCCTTCTTTCTGGTATTGGTGCTGTTTGATGTTTTTACCTTGAATGAACTAATTTCATTATAACAAGGCAATTAATAATGTATTGTAAATTGAATTTTCCAAGATTCTAGTATTTTAACGATCAGCACTTGACAGATACACCTCCATGTGTTTGGATTTTTTTGTTGTTGTTCTTTGTGGGCAGCAAACTGGCTGCCCCTTAGATCTGTGTGGGTAACATGCTTTCTATTCGTCATTTCTTCCTAATCTGACAATCTTGATTATTGATTAACATGTGAAAAACCCTGTCTGCTTGCTCTCCTGTGTGACTTTTAGGCATGTCATTTCACCTTGTCTGGGTGTCAGGTCACTCATTTATAAAATGAGATTGGCTTAAGTACCTCCATGGCTGTTTTCAAATCCATCATATTTGCACTGTAGTGAGGATTTTAGGAATTTGATAATGAAATGACCCATCTTTTTCTTTCATTAATTTTGTTCTTCAGTCAGAGGTATGAAGACAGAAGTTTAAAGGCAAGCTTAGGGACAGGGTAAATGTACAGTATTTGATTAGCTTCTATCGTAAGGATATTTTGAATAATGACTAGAGCCAGTTGATTTATATTACTTCTTGAGCAAGAAATATTGGACAGCATGAATAAGAATTTATTTTACTGTTGTTTAGTTGAGTTGTAAAGAAATCCTTTCATAAGACAATAACATTTTGGTTGAGTGATTACAGCTATTTACCTGACACCATTAAAAATATCAGTATGTCCAAAGCCTCCAAAAGCATTCAGATGTGACATATGTAGATGTCAGCACTTTTTCATACATAAATTTGCCTCAGCATCTGGAAAAAAATAAACTTCCTAATAGAAGTACCCAACTTTGGATTAGATTTGACAGTAAAACAAACCTGGAAGGCCCTGGAGGATGTGCTCTCTGTTAAGACTTAATGTTTGAAACAGTTTTATTTCTATGAATTTCTTTTTGTTTCTGAACCACATAGGAGATGGAAGTCTTAAGTTTGTATAACATTATGACTGGGATTTTTTTTTTTTTTTAAGTATTACAGATCTCATATACTATCTCACATGGTTACCACTCATACTATATGCCAGTGATTCCCAAACGTTTCACGTTGAAATTACCTACAGAGCTTCAAAAAGATTCATACAGACACTGATACCTGTGCATCACCCCTAGATAGTGTGATCTAATTCATTTGGAATGTGGCTTTAGCTTTAGAATTTCTAAAAGATCCCCAGGTGATTCTAATGTGCAGAAAAGCTTTGAAACCATTGCCATATATTAAAAATTTGAACCTATTGAAAACAGCTGGTAGAGTCTCCATGTCCAGGTTTGTGTATCTCTGAAGCATATATGTTGTTGTGTGTCGTCTAATTGATTCTGACTTAGAGCTACCCCGTAGGACAGAGTAGAACTGCCCTGTAGGGTTTCCAAGGCTATAATCTACGGAAGCAGACTGCCACATCTTTCTCCCACAGAGTGGCTGGTGGGTTCAAACCACCAACTCTTCCGTTAGCAAGCAGCTGAGCGCTTAACCACTACACCACTAGGGCTCCTTGCCATCATGTAGCCATATTCATTTATTGAACTGATAAACTTGACTGCTGCTTCCCCCACGCCCAGCACTGTTCTAAGCAGTGGTGATATTAAAAAAAAAAAAATCTCAGTTTATGGACCATACATTCTAGTAGGAGAGTCAGATCTCTATAATATCAGGTAATAGGGGAAAAAGGAAAGCAAAGAGTAACGGGATAGAAGATGAATGGAAAGGGGTGTGAGTCTTTTAATTATGGTGATTGAAGAAGGTCTTTCTAAAGAAGTGATCTTTGAGCAGGGACCAGAAAGGAAAAGTGAGGCAGGCAGAGACTCGGGGGAGGAAGGAGAACACGCTTGCAATTTGACTAGAGCAGAGCATTTGAGCACAGGGTGCAAAGTGCTCTTAGAAGCTATGATAGAAAATTTGTGAAGCCATTGAAAGGTTTTGAGCGCCTGTCTTTGGCAGTTGAGAGAGATTTGCTGGGCTGACCTTGTCATATCACTGCTTTTGAGCCCAGCATTCCAGACCTGAAAAAAATCCTCAGAATTATCCAGCTAACTTCTTCAGTTACTTGCTTGTGGATTCTTGACTTAGCAGTCTCCAGTATAAAAAACAAAAATTCATTCCAATTTTTTTACAAATTTGTTAACATGTCTGTCATAAACACTGAAGGAATGAGATTTTTCATATAGCAGAGTATTTGGGATAGTTGTGCACCTATAAGCACTAAAGTAATTGTTCAGATTTTAAATGCATTGGATAAAAATTTTCCTGCCTTCTTAAATATGTCCTTAAATCCTTTTTGAAATATAGTAGGACATATTGTTAGCTGCCATTGATTAGGCTCAGACTCATATATAACAGAATAAAACGGTCCCTGGTCCTGCACCATCTTCACTATTGTTGGCATGTATGAGTCCAGTCTGACAATATTCTGTTGTGATCCATAGTGTTTTCATTTGCTAATTTTCAGAAATAGATCACCAGGTCACCAGGCCTTTCTTCCTACTCTCAGTCTGGAAGCTCTGCTGAAACCTGTCCACCATGGGTGATTCTGCTGATATTTGAAATACAGTAGCTTCCAGTATCACAGCAACATGCAAGCCACCACAGTATGTCAAACTGACAGACGGGTGGTAGATTGTAGGATATACGCAAATATTTAATGTAGTCATTCTTTGACTCAGCACCATGTCATTATACAATGATATCCATAAATCTCCAGTATGGAGGACTATTTGCTCCCATACTTGCCTCAAACTGGTTTTTAAAATAAATTTGGCTTCTTTTAAAGTTTTTCATTCTTCTGGCTTCTAAGCTGTCTGCCTTGTAGTTTGTACCCCTCTTTTAATTTGTTGTGTGTTGAAAAATCATTTGGTCAAATTTGTGCCTAGGTTAATAATAAATAGATTCTAAGAGAGGACCTAATGCTTGTGCTTCAGTGTATGGTTTTTTAATACGTGGATTTTTTTTTTCTTCCCCATTTTATAAAACTGTGTTCATATAGCAGTGTTTTGCTATATACTTGCTTTGAACAGCAGGATCTAATGACTTTGTTTGACCAGAGCCCTTATTTATACAGTACACTAATCTTAGAAACTTCCCACACATGAACAAATGTGTTAGACCAGGTGGCTAGCTTTGTCTCCAGGTGGTCAGGGGTAAGATTAGTAATATGGAATCTTACCTCAATGGGAAGTAATGATTTTTGGTACCAATAGAAAAACCTGCTGTTGTTATACTTAGCAAGGAAGTAAAATGGTAGAATACAGCAATTCCAAACCTTTAAGACTAACTTATAATGCTGTTTTGTTCCTTCCTAAGACATGACGACATCCCCCAAATATTAGAAATTTTCTTCTATGTTCTTTAGCATATTTTACTTCTTGATTGCAAACTTTCATTTCCCATCAATCTGAGAAAAGTAATTCTTAAGATTAGAAAAATAATTACAAAGCACTGTAGCAAAACAGTGACTGAAAAGTTCTTCAGTTTTGACTACAAAAACTTTGTAATAGCTTTGCTTTGAATTTGTGGTGTTTGAATATCGCATAGAAGGTTTTCTCCATCAGTTTACTGTTACTTTGGGATAATTCTGACAAAATTTAAGGTGTAATTTAGTGGAATTGACAATCCAGCACTTTTCTAATTGCAGAGTGAAAACTAAGGAAACTTTTCCCATGGCTAGTTAAGAGAATGAAAAAAGATAGAGGGGTCTAAAGCATTTTTCTTTCCATTTGTCTTCACTGTGTTAAAATTCATCTTAAACTCATTATATTTCACTTTTCAATATTAGGTTAAAAGCTTAATTGTTTGGAGTTAATTGGTTAAACAACTTTTTTTAAATACTAGTTTTATGTCATTTAAAGATCTCAAAACAAGACTTTTTATCATTTTAAGCTAACGAGTGACTTAGGATCTTTGTAAAGCAGTTTGTAAAGCTTTTGAGTGTGTGTGGCTATATGTGAGGGAGTTTGCAGTACTTGCTTAAATACTTTTAACAAGTGATTAATCCAGTGAGTTTCAAATAGTCGGTAAAGGTAGATTTTTATACTACTATACATCCAGGATTAAGATTGACAGTTTACTGTTTTTCCCAGATATTGAATCTTTCCTTTACTTGTTAAGGTCCACTAAGCTCTATACTACTGAGGGGGCAAAGAAGCAAATACTACGCCAAGAAAGGGAATATTGCTGTACAGGGTCATTTGCAAATAATGCCCATGCATAAACTGTATCTCATTTGTTTCCTTGAAGTACTTTCCCATTTTAGACCTGCCTTATCCTGGCTTTTGACATTAATATGAAGATTTAAAGATAATTTAAGTAGAATGTGAAAAAATGATTTGTAAAAGTATCTGTCCAGAACCAGGAGAGCCTTCCTGTGATAACTCTGCAACATCCTTTGCCTTGGAGTGAGATTATGCCCCAAACCAGAGTTTCAAAAGTATTTCCTGGACCGTGGAATGCTAATATGCTGAAGAAAGCCGAGGCACTTTGCATAGTATATCCCCTCTCTTGGAGAGTTAGAAGGTACATATTAAAGGTTCTGAGAAATCTTGCCACATTCCCTCCTATAATACTTGTTCATATCCTGAGGAGGTAGGGTCCTTTCAAACATAGTTTGAGAATATTGTCCTAAACTACACCATGAAAGAGGGGATCATATTCAAATACATCATGTACTTATAGTGTATAGGGAGGTACACCTTCGGCTCCTCCTTTCCTATATCCCCAGTACTGTGGTCTTGATGCCATTTTTACCATTGTTTAAAGGTATCAGGGATAGGGATATCTTATCTTCTTTCTTTAATTAGAGAGTAACACTCAGTTGGGTACATTTAATTGGGAGGAATGTACGTGTTTAAAACCTTCCTAAACAAATCTTATGCAACAAATAACAATACTATTCAAATAACAATTGTGTGTCAAGTATCTATTGGGTTAGATAATCTAATCTATCAGCTCAGTTTTGAAAATAACTTGTTCAGTTTCTTGATAGATAGAATTGGCCTAGATTTCAAAGGGATGCAAGAAAGGGAGACTCCAGAAAAGAACACTGTTAATGATTTTGTGCCTATTTCTGGGAAATCATGGACTACAACAGGCAAGTGATAATGAGGATCTGAATTTAAATCACATTTTATTATTACCATTTGGGTTAGGTAGATGTTGTGAGATGGGACCTCTAGGCAACAATCTTATGCTCCCAGTGGACTCAGAAGTTTATTAGGACTTAAAGTCATGATGCTCCTTTAGCTCGAGAACCTATAAAGATGAATTAAACTGTTTTCCTTGGAGATTCTCATTGTTATTTCAGAGTAATTAACATAATTTTTTTCTGTAAAATGCGTTTACTGAAAAGTAAAAATTGCCTAACTACGTCATGGTAAAAAATTTCTATGAAAAGGTAGGGAAATACCATCTGTAGGTAGTACTAAAACCTAAATTGTGTGTGAAGCACAGGACTTCCGGAGAAAAGGGGTAGATGATTGCCTTGAATGTTTTCCATTTAACCTTATAACATCAGACAGGGTCACCGACAGGGTTCGAAGTTTGCCATTTCTAGAACAGCTTAGTGAGAGAGTAGGAAATCTGTCCTTTAGTTTGTTTCACCTCTTAAGAAGTTGGGTTATTCAGGAAGCTTAATAGCTATGAATGATAAAATAATTAAATTATTAAGTTAAAGTAGCTTTGGTGCCTTGGTGTGAGTACATGTGTGAGTGTGTGTGTATGCGTATGTGTATATAACAGCTCCTGCACGTCTCTATAAATCTATTTGGAGTGTAAAGCTATTTTGAGAATAGTTTAAAGTTTATTCAGATAAGAATAAGTTATCATGTCCACTTAAGGATGATTGTGCAAAAGGAGAATTTCCTTCTTCTTTTTCACAATCATCCTCCCATTCTACAAAAAAAAAGACAGAGGGGTGGTGGCAAATCTCTCACCCTGCCACCATCCTACTGTGATACATTACCTCAAATTTTACAAGCTGCTGG